TGACTTACTACTTGAACTCAGTCATGTTACTTTTCCACTGTTTTACTACTCAGCCATTTTTACTCAGTTTCGGGACTTAAATGATATTTTAAATGATGTTTGAGCTGTGAAACACTGTTTTACTATTGCCCGAGGGGCTTGTGAGGATTTTTGACTGAGCAAGGCCGAGTGCCTATGTTGTGAGGAAATACCGATATTGATTTGAGGTCGAGGGCCTGATATATGTACGCCACGAGGTGGCTAGATTGATATGAGGCCGAGGGCCTGATATATGTACGCCACGAAGTGGCTAGATTGATATGAGGCCGAGGGCCTAGATTTGATGCCACGAGATGGCTTGTTATTGCGCTTGGGCCGTAAGGGGCCCCTCCAGGAGTCTGCACACCCCCAGTGAGCGCGGGTACCCATTGTGTTGTGAGATTGAGCCCGAGGGGCTGGTACTGTTCTAAGATGTTGCCCGAGGGGCGGATTTGTGGATACTGTGCCCGAGGGGAGAGCTTCTATTTATTTACTATACCTTAATTTTCTGTCGATTACCTGTTCATTGTTGGAAAAAGGGTTTTTACTTGATTTTTCACTGGTTTACTGTTCTTAACTGGTTTTACTGCTTCATTATAGAATGCCTTGTGCCTTACGTGTTTTCTTACTTTCAGTCATTATTTACATTTGTTACTCACTAAGTTGGAGTACTCACTTTACTCCCTGCACCCTGTGTGCAGATTCAGGCGTAGCTGGTTCCGCTCCCGAGTGCTGATCCTTCCAGCTTCAGGCGGACATTCGGAGTACACGAGGTAGCTGCCTGGCGTCCTCAGTTTCCGTGTTTCTCCTCCTTTATCATTTCTATCATGTTTCAGATAGATGTACTAGTTTACAAACTTAGCAGACTTGTATTATGACTTATAGATGCTCGTGACTTGTGACACCCCGGTTAGGGCTGTGTTGGGTTATATTTCCGCACTTTATTGATATTATTCGCTACTTAATACTATTAAATTATGTTTTAGACTGCTTTATGTTGATTAACTGCTTGAAAAGGTAAATTGGGTTAGTTGGCTGGCCTTGTCTTCACAAGAGGCTCCATCACGACCGGGTTGGGATTTAGGGTCGTGACATCATATGGAATCCACTTTAGAAGTGTTAAAAACTTTTAAGCAGATACCTATGTCTGAAAGGAGTAAAGTTCATCTACCAACAAGTGATGTAGCTTATGTATCTCATACAGGAAAAGCTTCAGTATTTGAGGGTCAGGACATATAATGTACTATTTATCCCAGAATTCAAATACAACCTTTTGTCTGTGTCGAAACTAACAAAGGAGTTGCAGTGTTCAGCTCTATTCTTTCCTGACTTCTGTATCTTCCAGGATCTCTGGAGTGGTCAGGTGAAAGCGATTGGCAAGGAGGATCATGGACTATATGTGCTGAAGAGAAATTTTGCACGGCAAGACTCATCACTGGCAGGGATTAAAAGTGCAGGAAATAACAGTGTCTGTACTACTAGCAGTCGCTCTTCTCTTACTAGTTTACTTTGGCATAGAAGGTTAGGACATGCACCGCTTGATGTAATAAAAAGGCATAATGTACTCAGACATCTAGAAAAGGGTGAGCATCATCCTTGTACTGTTTGTCCTCTAGCTAAACAAACAAGACTGCCTTTTTCATTGAGTAATACAATGTCAAAATCTGCGTTTGAATTGATTCATTGTGACATTTGGGGTCCCTATAGGGTACCTACCTATGATGGCAAAAGGTATTTTGTGACTATTGTAGATGGCTTCACAAGATACACTTGGATATTTCTGATTCACTCCAAGTCAGACACTTCGATAGTGCTGAGAATTTTCTTTGCCAAAGTTCACAATTTGTTTTCTACTCAAGTGAAAACACTTAGGACAGACAATGGATGTGAGTTTTTCAGTACTGACTTCACTAGTTTATTACTAGAACTAGGCATTGATCATCAGAATACTTGTGTGTATACTCCTCAACAGAATGGTGTTGCTGAGAGAAGACATACGACAATCTTAGACATGGCTAGATCACTCAGATTTCAAGCATCAATACCGTTAAGGTTTTGGGGAGAGTGTGTTAACACTACTATGTACTTACTCAACAGGCTTCCTTCCAAAGTCATCGGCTACAAATCTCCTTTTGAAAAGCTCTACTTACACCCCTTTTCCTTGAATCAATTGAGAGTGTTTGGTTGCTTGACCTATGCAACCAGTCCTAATATACATGACAAGTTCTCCTCCAGAGCAATACCATCTGTTCTCATGGGGTATTCTCCAACACAAAAGGGATATGTTTTATATAATCCACATTCTAAGGTCTTCTTTGTAAGCAGGAATGTAGTATTTCATGAAACCATCTTTCCTTTCAAGGACATGAGAAGCTCAGGAACTCCTCTATTTCCGGTCTTGGACCTCCAGTCCCCAACATCATCTCAGCCTCATCCTGACTCCTACATTCTCCCAAATCATACTGAAGTTGCTACTGATGCACATAACCCCACATCTTTATCCCAGGGGGAGATATCAGATCCAGAAGAAGCTCCAGAATAATTACCTGACCAGCTCGATGTTCATGGTAATGTTGCATCACCACCACCAGCTATCTATGACTTTACAGAGGCTTCAGACACCCAAAATCTCAGAAGTTCTCTCAAACACAGTATACCTCCATTGTGGTTGAAAGATTATGTGACACAGTCCCAGGGCACTACATGTGCTTATCCCCTTTCATCATATGTGTCTTATCACCATGTGACTCCTCATTTCTTGAAAGCTCTCACAAAATTTTTCATCTGTGGCTGAGCCACAAACCTTCAAAGAGGCTGTTGCTGATCCAAAGTGGTCAAAAGCTATGCAACTTGAGATTGCAGCTTTGGAGGACAACCACACATGGACCATTGTCGACTTGCCACCAGGTAAAGTACCAATTCGTTGCAAAATGGATCTTCAAGGTAAAGTATAGAGCCTCAGGTGAAGTGGAAAGATACAAGGCCCAGGTTGGTTGCAAAAGGGTAGAGTCAAAAGAAGAGTCTGGATTACACAGAAACATTCTCCCCAGTAGCCAAAATGGTAACTGTGAGGTCCATTATAGCACTTGCAGCATCAAGGCACTGGTGTATCTATCAGATGGATATTCATAATGCCTTTCTCAATGGAGAGCTTCAAGAGGAAGTCTATATGCACATTCCTAAAGGGTTTGCCGGACAGGGGGAGTCTGAGAAGGTCTACAAACTGCAAAAGTCCCTCTATGGACTTAAGCAGGCTCCAAGGTAGTGGAACTTGAAGTTGACTGAGGCTTTACTGTAGATGGGGTTCAGATTAAGCCACTTTGACTACTCTCTATTCATTAAGAGAACAAGTCATGACATAACAACCATCTTAGTCTATGTAGATGATTTGTTGATCACAAGCAACAATCAAAACATGTTGGATCAAACTATGAGGGACTTGCAAAACAAGTTCAAGATGAAGGAACTAGGTGAGCTCAAATTCTTTTTGGGAATTGAGTTTGCTAGGTCTGAGAAGAGCATAGTGATGAGTCAAAGAAAATATGCTTTAGAGCTCATTTCTAAACCAGGATTGAGTGGAGCTAAACCTGCAGGAACTCCACTAGAGTTTAACCAAAAAATGACTTTTGTGGATTATGATACTTGGCTGCAAAGTGACAATGCAGCTGCAGATAAAAAGCTGAAGGATCCTAAGATCTATCAGAGGCTGGTAGGTAGACTTCTATACCTCACCATGACTAGACCTGACCTAGCACTTGCAGTCCAAGTCCTTAGCCAATATATGCACTGCCCCAAAACATCTCACTTAGAAGTTGCCCTCAGAGTGGTGAAATATGCCAAGGCAGAACCTGGTCTGGGACTCTTATTGCCTGCAGAGAATACAAGTAAGCTAACAGCCTACTAGACTCAGATTGGAGGGCTTGTGTGGAGACAAAAAGGTCTGTTACAGGTTATTTAGCGAAGTTTGGTGGTGATCTTATCTCCTGGAAATCAAAGAAGTAGGAAACTGTCTCCAGGAGTTTAGCTGAGGCTAAATTTAGAAGCATGGCTTCATGCACTGCAAAGATTACTTGGCTTGTGGGGCTGTTCAAAGGGCTAGGAATTCATGTGGATTTACCAGTTCAGTTGATGTGTGACAGCAAAGATGCAATACAAATTGCAGCAAATCCAATCTTTCATGAAAGAACCAAGCACATAGACATAGATTGTCACTTTGTAAGAGAGAGAATCTCACATGGTCTGATCAAAACTGAGCATTAATCTACAAGGAGCAACTGGCAGATTTACTTACAAAAGGCTTGAGCAAAGCACAACATGATTATCTACTAAGGAAACTTGGAATGAAGAGTCTGTTTCAACCATCAGCTTGAGCGGGAGTGTTGAACAATGAGCGTGTGAAGGCAAAGTTCAAGCTGTAGTTGCAACAATCCAGCTAGGATCCAGCTCATCTTAAATTAGTTAAGATATTAGATGTGTATGTATAGTAGTTAGTTAGTTAGTTACAACTATAAATACACTGTACATGTAGTAGTTAAAAGATTTTCCTTTTCACTCTCAAAAATACAAAGTATTCTCTGCTTTCTCTCAACATTGATCTTCCTTTCCTTCTTCGTCTCTCGGGCTTCAGACTCCATTTCCATGGAAGTTATCATTAATTTTAACATGTACAATGAAATTTCTAGACAGGACAAATAGGCAACTTGTTATTCAAACATTATCTTTTACTAACTAAGAAATAAAACAAGCCAAGCTCCAAAAGCCAAAAAGAAACATTGAAGTTCCAAACTTGTATTTTTTCTGTTAGTTTTTCTTTTTCTTTTTTTGAAAAAAAAAACCCAACTAACTAAGAAATAAAAACTAGTTTTAGATTATGATCTTATCTTAAAATTTAAAACCCATATGCTTTAAATTCTAGTTCCGCCTCTGCCGTCATTGGTATGCGTTATACTTATTTTTTAAATAACTGTGATGGTACATTGATGTTCGAGCGAACTTGTGCACCTTGACTAAATCCAGAAATACACGTTAAATTGTCTATCTTTTCTCATAACGTTTTATATTAAATTCCTTTAAGTTGAGTAGCAAATCTAATACTCATGCTACTCTATAATAGAATAGTAGCACGTAAGCCACGCACTAATATAAAATTCTGGATCCATCTCTATTGTAGTAATATCGAATCATCCGGAACACTGCATGCAACCAAGGATTTTCCATAGCTTACATGATCTTCTAATTACTTTATTTATCTTGCGACCAAAGAATCCAAGGGGAACAACCGGAGCAATCTCTGATGCTATTTCTCCGTTACTTGCATTACTTCCATTACTACTGTTACTTTTTCGAAGATAAAAACTTCTGCTTCCAACATCTCCAATCGCATCTGTATTACTCAAGCCTATATCAATGATATAGAAAATTATCAAAGAAGGAAGAAAAATTGAAAAAGAAAATAAAACAAAAGGAAAATTATAATATAAAGAATGTTTACACCATCAGTATAAGTCAACTAATTTTAGTGGGTTACTTTTCTTTTTAGCTTACTAGACAATGATTTTTACATAGATTTAAATGTAATTAGATTTTAATGATCTAATTGTGGAAATGTTTCACACTCTCCGTGTAATAAAACTTAAAATCTAATTTATTTACATATATTTTCTTTCGAAATTAAAGAAATAGATAAAGCACAAGCTTAAATTTACGAATAGCTACACCACGTATTAATTTTAACATGTAGCATGAGTCCAGACAGGACAAATAGGCAACTTGTTATTCAAACATTATCTTTTACTAACTCGTCAATATCACAAGCCAATCTATAAGGCCGTGATTAATTAATATGTGAGCCAGAGATAAATTTTCTAATTTTCATAATCCAACCTTACATCAAGAACAAGAGAATGACCTTTCAACAAAGAAAGGGGCTTATACATAAAGATTATTTAAGTAGCAGTCATGACATTAAGTACATTAAATATTAGTCGTAAGCATCATTGTTTAAGTTACAAAAGTCATCCTATATATTGGCAAACATTAGTTGGCCGATACAGAATATTGTCCCTCAAATCTTGAGAGCGGCAAGAGATTTGCTAAAATTTTCATTCTCTGAAAGATTTTATAATACATGTTTGGTATACGTACAAAAATACGATGTAGCTGAAAGAATACAATATCAAGTAATTCCACGAGATGCCAAATCTCTGTGTAACATGCAAAACCAACAAAGATTCGGAGAGTGTAATTGTTTCCAGGGCTCTTGATCACACAATATATCTCCAAAATTTGGCTATATTTAGTAAAATTAAGGTAATTAGGACTTACTTTGAAGACTGAAGTAAGACTGGTACAACTGAAACGATGAATCAGCATTTTTATCAAGCCGAGGAGTTCGGCCTTCTTCACTGTATTTGTCTATGACAAGTCTTATTGTTTCATCTACACTGGATCCCAACTTGACCATGGTTCGCACCGGTCCTGGACTGCCTTCAACTGTCACATTAACGATTACTTTTGCCTCCTTCTTATACCCCTGCAGCCCAAATTTTTACAAATATTAGACATCAAGAAAGGTAGTAAGTACCCTAAGGCTCAGAACGGGGGTTGGCCTACTTCGCGCGACTCCAGGGGTGGATTTAGGCATCTTTTACGATGCACATAAACCCATGGTCTTTCTGTCAAACTAGCTATTTTATGTATGTATTTATATGTTGGCCTCCATGTTCCAAAAAGTTTGAATGCTACACTTGGTTGAATGCTAAGTTATTTATCCAAAGGAACATGGATCGAATCCCATTTAGTATTTTTTTTCTTGCTTTTTCAATGGTGCACCCATGTTCTAGAATCCTAGATCCGCATGCACGACTCACTTTTAACTGGTAGGTTGAGAATAGAGGCCGATGAACTGAGTTCAATTGAAGCCACTATTGTCGACACGAAATATAGATGATATGAATAGACGATCACAATAATCTTATCCCATTAATTCATTCATGCATCAAATCCAAGTTTACAAATGAATATTTGGGGTATGGTTAGCTAATTAGTACTCCCTCCTTTCCAAAATAAGTGATTTTTTGGATGTTTTCACACAGATTAAGAAATTCATCTTTTAGATTAATTAGCAATGAAATTGACCATATTAACCTTTACTATCTCACATAAACACTCCTAACACATACTCCAACACTATTTTCTCCAAGGACAATATAGGGAAAAAATAATTAATTCATTCTTGAAATCTGGAAAAATCACTTATTTTGGACCATAAAAAAAGGTCAAAAAATCACTTATTTTGGACCGGAGGGAGTAGTTGAATAGGCCGATCCGAAGAAAAATTACTCAGGTAATGATGAATTTACTAATTTTTGTTACATTAAATAGATTGTACCAACTAACAAATGCTACACTAATAATGATAATATTACCTTTTTATGCAGGTAACTATAACCACATCTAAATTAGCTTTTTATAAAGAAAAAACCTTTACCTTTTGATATACGGATCGAACAACGAAAATACCTTTACCTAATTTCCGGAAAAAAAGTACCTGAAAACTCTGCGGAGATCCAGAATAATGATAATCAGGAGACAAAAATATGTCCGAACAAGTTTGTGGCCGCAAAAGGATTTCTAACGACGGCGCCGTCACATCCCGGCCGAGATCATCGTCAAAGTCAATGACTCCAATTTTCAAAATACAAGGCTCTGATTTACATCTCTCTAGTGTCTTATAATTAGTATCTCTACTATGCTGCTTCGATGATCGGCGCTTCACCGGCACAGGCGTATACCTCCGATGACCCGACGGCGACGGTTTTAGTGCTCTGCTCCTAGCTCTCCGGCTTACCGGAAATCTTCGCCGGATATGGTTGTCTGACATATACACTTGATTTAACTGGTATTTTGAGTATACTTTTTACAGTGTATAAGGATGTGCACTTATTTACGTATACAAAAATAGAGGGGAAGCGTATGAATTGAAGCAAAAGGGAAAGAAAAAGGACAAGAATGGAAGTTGCTTGGTAGTTGCTTGAATTTTAAGTTGGAAATGGAGAACCGAAAAGTCCTTTATTTATACTACTCCATCAAATTTCTTTTTTCTTTTTTTATATTTTGGCCGTTGTTTGAAAATAATAAGACACCTATTATCTTCAAGGAACAACATTGTAGGCCATCATTTTATATTAAAGTAACTTTTTTATTTGGGGTAGTGTAACTTCTAATTTACAGCAATGTAGAATAAGTATTTACATTGCAAATTTACATTGCCAAAAGGCGAAAGAGATGTTTGGTATATAAATAAAAAAGTTTCAAATTTTAGTTATACGTTTTAAAATGGTACATAATGGTGGGGCCATATATGTTCAAGGGGTGTTAATTTATATTTGTCAAAAAAAATTATACTATATAATTAGGTAACTCTTATTTAATATGTATATTAATATCCTTTGACTTCTTTGTGGCTCTAGTTTGTATTTTGACCTTCCTTAGTTAAAATCAGAGCAAAGTTTTCAGGGGGAGCATTCCTCCTTGGGCAAATTGCATTTTCTGAAAATTAGAAATAAAAAAAGGATGAAAAAGTCAAAGTTTGAATATTTTTTTTCTCCAATTTGTATACCACTAAAAGAAGAAAGTAAATAAAGAACAAAAATTGTACTCCTAATTTGAAAAGGACGGTTGCCGACAGAGATTTTGCTTCATCTCGTCATATAAATTTCTTTTTCTATTTTCTAAATCACGTCATTATTACTCCTGTCAAAATAGAAAGAAAGTTAAAAAACTTTAATTATTTATTAGCAATGGTTCCTAGTTATTGTAACTAATTAAACAAAAAGTTCAGTGTGGTGGTCGTGAATTTGTGATTGACTTTTTCTGATTTTAGCTTTGGAAAATTCTCTCCCATTTATTTTTAGACTTACCAACAAAAGTATTTCCATATACTTACAACGTTTCACGCTTTTACTATTTCAACTTTTTATTATTCCTAGAATGAAGCGTAGCATATTTTATTGTTACCCCAATATTCAATTAAAGTAAAAAAAGTCCAAAAGCAACTCGAACTGGGTTTGACAGATGGAGAAATCCTGTTATTTTTTATTCCAAATTCTTGTCCAAACGGGATTATATTCAGCGCCTATATAAATGTCCTCAAAAGCAAATTTATTGTTCTCTTCACCCTTTCCCCGTACCGGCCTGAAAGTAACAATGAACTGGTCTGAACTTCCTTACGACCTACTTGTTACAATAGCGAAACGTGTTACAGTATTCGAGGATTTCATTGCATTTGGTGATGTTTGTAAATCTTGGCGAAGTGTTGCTACCAAAGAAAATTTTGATGCATCATCTCCCCAAGTTCCGTTTCTTATGTTGGCTGCTAATGAAGAAGAAAATTTCACGTAGAGTCTTTCTACCAGAAGCTAAAGGGCGAGTCTGTTTTTCAACGCAAGGATGGCTTTGTACAGTGCAAAATATACAGGTATAGGAGAGATGACATTGTTGAACCCTTTCTCTCGCACTCAAATCCAACTTCCTCCATGTAATAACTTGAGAGATCGGGAACCAAACTTTGTGACCATCAAAAAAGCTGTGTTATCGGCTAACCCTTCCCTAACACACGACTATGTTATGATGATTTCGTATAATGGGCCAAAATATCGTTTGGCTTTTTGGCGACCTGGAGATCTATGTTGGACCCGAGTTAATCTTCGAGATACTGGTGTAGTCACCGATATTCACTACTTTAAAGGACGGTTTTATGTTGTCACTTTCGTTGCCGAAGTCTTTGTTATTGATGTTCCCGGACCTAGTAATCCTCAACCAGTTGTAGAATTCCGCTTGGTTTTTACCATATATAATTATGCTATATATTTTGGCCGTTGAGAAAGCATCTACATCTAGTTGAAGAATCAGGTAAATTATTATTAGTTGCACAATTTTCTGAATATCAGAAATTAGATGGACCTAATGCTGGCCATAACATCTATGATGGACCCAATACAGGTTATAAGACCTATAAATACTAGATCTAATCAATAGAGAAGTAAAAGAGATTAAATTCTTGGGACATAGAGCTATTTTTTGGGATGTAATTCATCAATTTCTATTGACACTTCTAAGTTTTTAGAAGTGATGCCTAATTACATTTATTTTACTGATAGTTCATAGTTGGAGAGAGTTATTTTCCCGGCTCGAAGGAAGCGGTGGCAGAGATATGGGGGCTTACAGTCTTATAGATGGAAAAATTCGATCTTTTTATCCTGACATTTCACTTAGTCCTATTTGCCCCCCAACTTGGGTTATACCGTCATTCTGATATCAAAAGGGGATTGCACTTACCTCCATTTATTTATGTTTTAGGGAATTATTTATGCTCTTTCATTGTAATCTTTTCTAACGGATGATTATTTTTTGAATTTTAACCTTTTCTTAATCAATTCCAGTTGTTCTTTCTTGGTACGATTTAGGTCTCTAATAGTATGCAAATATATCTTTTTAATGAATCGCTATTGAATTGCTAGTGTTGTTTTTGTAAGAGGAAAGACAGAGCCTCATAGTGTGAATTCTCTATTAGTGAAGCTGTAGTAATCTTTTTTTTTTTTTAGTAATGCGGGATATTTCGTGCACTGAATTGTCTTGAATATTTTACTTAAAGTAGTCTAAGATCGTGAAGATGGTGCAGACTATGTTCTTTGACCTCTAAATACTGGTGTTGATGTAGCTATCTGACTGAGCTGTGATGACAAGCAGTTTATTCCTCTGGCATACCCTGTGTTGCTGCTGCTGCTTATTAGCAGTATATGTATGTCTATTACCATTCACAGGCCTAAGATGGAAATAAGTTTAAGGGCAACAAGTATTGTTTGTGTCATGGAATTGTTCTTTCTAATTAGTTTATGTTTGGCTCAAAAGATACTAATTACTTTATAAGCGGAAAACAATCAAAATAAATCACAGGTAAATCGTAATCGAATATAATGAGACCTAGAGATATGTATTATGCTTGTGATTGTTTTAACAATTTAGATATTCGAGAGAGTAAGAGAAAGCTTGTTTTAGAGAGAGAGAGAGAAATAGAAAGAAAGAGAGCTTGTATTAGAAAAGATCCGATGCCCTTTACAGCATTGGGATTCTCCTTTATATAACAAGAGAACCCCCTCAAAAATAATAAAATAATACAGGGATAGGTCACGTGCTTTCGAGGAGACGACGAGACCTAAGGGCACGTTTTCGCTCCGACATTCTTAGGTCGTACCCTCACTTCGACTATTGCTTAGTCGTGGGTCGTTGCTACCGTAGTGGGCAGAATTTGACCCCATACAGATAGTCCCTCCGTTCGTTGGTGACGTAACGAAGTGTGTCGCCGATGGACGGAACCATGATCCTTGTACTAGAAAAATTTTGACCATGTTTGGAGACGACGACGTGGAGGGGCGATCGTTTGAATTTGTTGATATATTGGCGCGCAATCCCTTCCCTGGGATGACGTCACCATATGCAGGCGTCATCATTACGCGTGTTCCCGAGGAAGTACAAAAGGTATTCTGATGCTTGGTTTCCCGCACCTGTTTGGGGTCTTGCCTCTTCGATTTCAACGCTACCCAACCCTATAAATAGGGAAAGGGTTCAACTTAACCTAACTTTAGATCATCTGCAAACGTTTTCCAACTATTTCAAGAAAACGCTTCCTTTTTACGAAAACCCATCGCTTCCCTGAAAGTACACTTGTGGTTATGTAGTACATCACTCCTTAATTGGAAACCATGACAAAACCTAAACGGGATAACGCTCCGGGGGCTCGTAATAATAAATCATCTGACATACCGCCTCCATCCGGCGGTAATAATGGAGGGAAAGGGGAGGATCTCACCCCTCTTACCGTAGATAACGTACTCCCGAAGCAACTCCTTATTAGGAGGGACTTTCAACGGGATTCTCCCGAACAACCTTGGGAGAAATCTGAGTTAAAACAAACTGATTTAGATACTCTTCGTGCGTCGTATGATATACCCGCTCACGTGGAGATGGTTTTAGCGGGAGCGGACTACGCGAACACCCACAGACCGGGGTACTGTACGTTTTACGAATATCCCTTTTTGATCGGCTATGGCCTCCCCATTTTTCCATAAGCGGAAGAACTCTGCCGTTTCTACAACATGTGTCCCACCCAACTCACTCCGTATACCCTAAAGGTATGTAGGGTAATGTCTACATACGCGGAGCTGGCCCGGCTGGAGGTCTCCGTCCACCACCTATTGCAGCTATTCAGCGCCAGCTACCTGAGGGGCACCATGCTGCATCTAAAGAATCGTGGCTCGAAGGGGTTGGTCGTGCAAACCGACGATCGGGCTAACCGGGGCTATTGGCGTAGATACTTCTTTATCAAGACGGAGCACCTGGTGTCTAACCCCGTCGGATTCCCTGAGAGGTGGAATTCGAGACGTAAGTATTCCTATCTGTCGAGTCATTTATCGTACATGACTTTAGCGGTTCCGATTATACCATCCTTATGATTTTTCTGTTATTTTGCAGCAATAGCTCACGTCCCCCGGTTAATAACCAATATTAAGCAGTGGGTGTCCGGTTTGCTGCCTCTCGCGGAAGAGACCCGTACGTGGGCTGAATTCATTGAACGTTACGGTCCCGCAAGTCCTTCAGGTATTTCTTCGACATTAATTAGTCGCTTTCACAAACTTCCTCAGCTAAATCACTTTTATTGCCAGGTCGAAGTGCTCCTAAGAGGAGGGCGACGGCATCCGCCTCCTCCCGATCAGATGTTGGTCAGAATGCGCAGGAAATACTTTGTGCTTCTGTCAGGGAAGGGGTGACCGTTGCCTCTTTACAAGAGGCTGCTCCTGCGGAGGTGGCTACAAATGAGGCAAGGCCGTCGACATTGTCTCAGCAACCTGCGGACGAGCCTTCCGAGGGCGAGGAGCCTGAGGAGAGAAAAAGGAGGAGGCTCGTAACGGGTAAGGCGGTGGCGACTGGAGATGAAGAGAGTGACGCGCCTCGCCAAACAACTAGGCCCGTCTTTATGGCCGATGCCATCCGTTCGGGGAGG